GTGCACACTTAGCACACTTTCTATATGGACTGTCCAACTAACCGCTGCAGCGGATCTAGCGAAAACATGTCGTCAGTGATGTGCGCCAACGTGACTTGGCCGTAGGACTGACCTTTCGTTTTCGGCAGAAACGGCAGGCCATAGGGGTTCGCCGAGGCGCCATCTTGCCTATTGCTACTAGTTTACCCAGATGCGCGAGTGACTGGTATACGACTGACGCAGAGACGGGTCGAGAAGTGATGCTTGCGCCGTTTGGATGGTTTCGAGTATCCGGCTCTGAATGATGCGATTGGGTCAATTGCCAGTGGAGATCTGAAGGCTGTACAACAGGTCCGTGGCAGCGGTTGTCGCTAGCTTGCTGTGTGGAATATTCGGACATAGAGTATTGTGGGTCGGACAAACCGATCCGGCTCGGGTTCATGTAAGGTGTAGAGAAGCACGGGTTAGCCGGTGACGGATTACAGCTGTCATCGACGGCAGCCGACGAGCTGTAGTAACCATCATGGCTATTATCATACCCATAGCCACGTCCCCCATGTTGTATTGCCAACGGTGCTGCTGGGGAGATCATCTCTGGGACGCTGTGCATCACAGAGGCATAGTTTGAAGTTGCATGGATAGTTGTGGCTCGGTTTTCCTCAACCGAGAGATGCCACTGTTGGCTTCCTTCGTTGAAGGAGAATGTGGAGAAAATGGCTGGCATAGCGGTTGTTGCATGGTCCACACGCAGTTCTGTTCCGGAGTGTCGTAGCGATATTTGCCGAAGCACGCTCTGTGGCCATTCGACGGAGTTTAACGGTTGACAACTTTCCTCCTCGCCTTCGATAATTTGATCGGCGGCCTTGTTGTCAATACGCAACATGGGACAGGCTGCTTCTGGTTCTCGCGTTCACTTGCGGACAGGACTTGTATGACGCGCTTCGGGGTTCGAAGAGGACAAATTGCAGGCTTCGTTTGAGGTTTGTTGCCTTTGAGGCGAGAACATTTTAGGAGACCAGGAATGCGGCATCGACGTGCTGGAACGTGGGGTTGGTGGTGGTGGTCACACAGGCAATTTCCTTGGCAGTCGTGTGTCTGTCGTTTATTAAACGAAGCCAGAAATTGGTCCGTGCACGATATCGTCATTAAACAACAAAATTTGTTGAGTTCCTGCCGCTGCCTAACCTGCATTGTAGTTGGCAACGCAGCACGAACTATTCTCCTTGCTTTGTCTTCGCGGGCACCTTTCTGCGGTTGTCCTGTAGGGCATTGTTCGGGAGTGATTTCCGTCTATGTTCCGCAATCGATGCTTTTGGCTGCGGCACTCCGTCCTTCGTCGATCTCGACCCCTGAGTCAACGTCGGACTCCTCCAGTACGTATCCCTTGCCGCATTTGTTGCTGTAGTCAGTTCTGTGGTTGCTTGTCTCGCAACACAGCAGAGGTGACCACGAGAGTCCGACCATCATAAGGCTGCTTACCCCAAGTGGCAGTCTCTGGGCGGCAGTTTTGGGATGGCAGTTTCGGGGTGTTGCGGTCCGCGTGTCGCGTGTCTCCTGCATTTCGTCTAGGAGAGCGGCGCCGTGGTCTACACATTTGTGACGAGATAGTCGAAGTTGAAGAAGAAGGGGTGTGTTTTGCGCGCTGCCGTCCGTCCCTACGCCGCCAGCACGGTGCACGGAGTCTATACCGTCAAGTTCTGCGCATTGCCATGCCAAGTCTGTCAATTCCATCAGCTGCAGTCCCAATTAGATCTAATCAGGTTGTCGGACGCCTCGCTTCATGCATTGTTTCCACGAGACTAAGGTTCGCATGGCCAAGTCCACGGGATGACCAATTGCCTGCAGAATGCATTGTGTCTGTTCTGAGTCTGTTCTGAGAACGAGAATGCAGGTTGCAGCATTGCGGTGTACGCGAGAGAGACAAGGCTGCCGGAATATTGTATATGTGCCCAAATCACTGAAAAGCGGACCAAGCCCCAGCCCTGGCTTGTGTGCGGTCGCAATGGGCCCACTCATCTGACGGCCGCTTCAGATATTTTACCCTCTGCTGACACCAGAACCGTGTCTGCCAACACAGGACTAGGGAAGCCAGATATGGCTATATTGCCAGTATCGCGGGCACGCCCCGACTTTATCGGCCCATTTGGACCATCTCCTAGTCCGTTGGGCCGCGCGTTCCTGGGCCGTGGCAAAAAAAAAGGGGCCAAACCAGCCGGAATCTGATGGACCGAAGGTAAACGGCCACAAAAGGCTTCACCTGCGCAATACACCAATAATGGCCCTATGATGCCTTATTTTCGCCAACTTGGCACGGTACTCTAGCCCACACGGTCGCGCCCTCGCGGTGGAAACATACGAAGGCGGCTGTCGCCGCCTGGTCACTCCCGAGTGTTCAACTGCCACCCCTGGTCCAACACCAACATAGGCTGTCGCCGCGACACAAAATCATCGCGTGTGTCGCTCGGTAATCCGCCGTATTGTATCAATGTTTCTGCAGCATCTCGGGTGCAGTCACTGCCAGCCGCCTTGTACAACTTGCAATTCGGTCGCGTCGCAGCGTTCGCCGCCAATGGCCTGCAAAACCTTGCGAACAAAGTCCAAGCTTGGCGAACAGTGGCTGACCTATTACTCGCGGGGTAAATTTCGCGATGCGATGGGCCTAGAAGAGGGAACAGCCCCGTTCCCGAATGGAACTCTTGAGAAGGGTCTGGTCTGTTCTGGTCTGCGCAAGGATAGATTACACTGTCAAAGTGGATCATGTGTCGGCCCACAAAGATGCCAGTTACGGCAAGCCTTTCAACGCAACATTAAACTTGTCAGCCCACCATCAAACGCTGTTCCACGAGCTTCACGGATGACGTCAGCGTTGCCTCGCGTTCAAGGTTTCACAGCAGCCGGCCAACGCCGACTTAAACATCCTCACTCGTTCGAGATTCCTGTTGATCTAGCGGACTATGGCCATTCCTATATCAAGCGCTTTCCGGAACAGCTCCGCCTTCTCGTTCCGTGTTGTAGCCGTTCCTGCAGTTTCGGAATATTGGAGGGCCGGTACGGCGGGCTATAGAGGTCGGTGTTGCAAAACCCCAAAAATTGTGGAGGGCAAGGCTAGAACAGGTTAGTCAATTGTCCGTGTACATCGCGGTACTCCGACGTAAGTACCTTGGCCGGCGCTGACCAGTTTTGCGAAAGGCTTGGAGGGAGCCGGCAGTTCAGATGCACTTAGAGACTGATAGGAGAGGATTCGTCCCTCGGACATTTTAATCCGTTGAACGGCCGTGTCGTGGTTGCCATGTCTTTGTTTTTATTTTTATTCTACCCATTTTCTTCATCCTCGTCCGGGGTGTTCAATTCCTGAAAAGGGGGTTGGCAACAAGCACAACAAGCCAGCAGCAGTCGGACTACTCACAATCCAAAGGCGAGCAGCTTCGGCAATAGTCTCCAACGCCAAAAGCTTCCGCTTCTCGGGAGCCAGGACGTGAAGCGGGCCCGATGCAGCAGAAGAAGCGGCTGCACCTGGACCGCATGCCCGCATCTGCTGTGCTGCTTGCTGCGCAGCCTGACTCCATGCGTCGTTCGGTTCCTCCTGTGTGAGCTTGAGCTGCTTGTTGAGCTGCCAGAAGACACGCACGGCCGCAACAGCATCAATTGGTACCTAAAATGCCGCCTTCCGATCAGCCACAGCTGTATAATCCATTTGAGAACCCACCTACCGGCTTGCAGGTGTGGCCATTCTTGGCGCAGTCTCAGCACGCAGCGCCGGTGTCTGAAGGCAGAATTAGCGGAGTAGGCGTGCTTGCCCATGAATATTTGACATACTGTTTTGCGAAGCACACTCAAGGCCGGGAGCCTTGACAGCTCGTGTGACGCAGGGGCGGCATGGGAAGTCGCGAATGGGACCAAGCGGGGGAAGCCTCCTGACCTTCTTCTTTTTCTTCAGGAGACTCTCTACATTAGCAGTCATGCTCCATGACGAGGAGCGGTTCGAACCTTACAGGGACCTTGCCTAGGCTTCTGTGATCGCCTGGCTGGGATGATCCTCTGTCTTTGCGAACTGGTTTGGTGCCCGGCGCCCCAGCCGGCTCAGAGGCTTCACTTCCACAAAGGCTCTCGCTATTGGCAGGGGCCATGGCACTGATTCCCGGCGAGTGCTTTCTGCAAGCCGATGAAAGGCGGAAGGTAAACAGCGGATCGTACGGAGAAATTGGATCAGTAAATAACTGCTGCAGCACCACGGGCCAAGCATGGCCTGGCCTATTGGCAATTCGGGCAGCTGCCCCGGAGATGCACCGGCGCCAGGGCTGTTCCCATTCGGGCAGCTGCCTGTCCCGCCCTCATTTCGGCACGAGGCCGCTGCTGGTCAGAGCCCATGCAGCAGCGAACAGAAATACCCACTCCGCACCCCCTCAGCGCCAAACTGTCTCCTTACCAACACACGGCTGCGGTCCCCCGCCCGCGCTGCTCTCGGCCATGGCGCGTCCGCGCAGCGCCATCGATCAACACCGCGACTATGTGTCTCGTCTCTATCTCAGCGGCGTCTCGCGGAGCAGGATTTGCTATAAGCTGCGTAAACACTTCCATGTTGCAGTCAATCTCAGTACCCTGTCTCGTCGGATTGCAGACTGGGATCTCCCTCGCCAACAAACCCGGACCAGAGAAACTCCAGAGCTGATTGAGACAGTACGCGACCTGATCTTTCGGGTTGGGTTGACCGAAAAGCAGACGATCAGCGTTCTACAACGACAGGGTTGGCCCATCACGAAGCGAGGTCTTAAACGAATTAGGCTTCACCCAGATCGACGTTGGCTGCGAAGGCTCAATAGCGAAGAAGAGCGCCTCGCTTTGCTAGAGAAGGCGGAGCAGGCCATTATCGAGATGACACAGCGGTCCAATGCCATTTCGGGATATGGGAAGAATCTTCTTCAGCCTTATCTCCGCCAACAAATGCAGCTTTGGGTGCCGAGGGACCCTCTTTTCCAGATGTACAAAGTTATGTTCCCGAACGAAGTGAGCTCCGCAAAAGGATGTTCCGGAGAAAAAAAGGGCAGTTCTTAGTCCCAGGACCAAACTACCAGTGGTGCATTGATGGCCATGACAAGCTCAAAGCATACGGTTTCGAGATATACGCAGCAATTGACGCATATTCCCGCAACATCATTTGGTTCTACGTTGGGCATACGGCCACAACTGCTCTGAGCGTATTGAAGCAGTACTTGGCGGCATGTGGCGCCTACGGCTTGCGGCCGTGGTTTCTGCAAGCCGACAGGGGCAGCGAAACCCCACTGGCCGCCGCAGCCCACTGGAACTTTGTCTTGAGGTCCGAAGGGAGAATAGAGTGGCATGGGCAAGTGTTTCAGCAAGGGAAACTGCTCAAAGACTCGTATAAAGCAGCCCCCAGTACGAAAAATGTCAAGATTGAGAGCTGGTGGGAGAGAATGCTGCACGTCTCGTCCCGGCAATGGGTCGAGTACTTTGGAGAGCTCGCGAGAGACGGAGATTTCGACGGCGATATGCTTGAGGACCAAATTGCCCTCTACGCCGTCTACGAGGACATTCTGCGTCAAGAACTTTTCGATTTCGTGGAAGCCTGGAACATACATCGGATACGTCTTCAGAAGAACCGGCCGCACGTCGTTCACGGCCAGCCCTGGATGAACTATCATTATCCTGACCCGCAAAAGGCGTGTAATTGGGGTATCCCCATTGATCGAACTGTTCTGACCGACATGGAGCGTCCCTTATCAGACATTGATATCAATTCGTGTTTGGAGCCAGAGACCAAGAACTGGTGTCGTCAGCTTCTCACTGAAATGGATTTTGATCAGGTCGCTCTTGGGTCGAGCCGAGACCCGGACAAGCTGCGGCCTTTCCGGCGCTTCTATCTCGCCCTCCGGGACCAAATCATTCGGCATATCGAAAGCGGCCAACAGCCTGTGTTGTCTTATCGCCGCGCACCGACTGGGGGCGTCGCGGAATACGTACGACACCCGTCCGCTCGCGAGCCGAAACCTACTAACGACCGACAGGAATCACTGCTGGAGCGGGCAGCCCAAGCTCGCGAGGATGAGCTGGGAGATGGTGACGCAGCAGAACAGCCGATCATTGAAACAAGTGTCGAGGATGAGCAAGGAGATGACATTGAGGAAATAAGCGACGACGATGCCGACAGCGATAGCTCCGATGGGTTGTCTGCATAGCCGCACTTCCTATCGGGTTCTCTTTTTATATCGAACCGCATACGTGGCAGGAGTCTTGCGGCCTTTGAACCTCGTTGAGTGGGCCGGTGGAGGGTGACTAGATTCATTACCGTCGGATGCCTGTGTGTCACCCGCCATGGAGGCCAGAGAGAGCGGTTGGTAAGTCACCTATAGCAGTTAGCGTCGAATTGACCGTTTGGTGCTTGGCATCGTACGAACTCTGGGGCAAGACATGTTCCTTCTTCGCAATCGCCTTCGTCAACCTCGCGCAGTTCGCTCTCTCCCGCGCAGTCTCTTCCCTCTTCGACATTGGCTAGCTCAGAATCGCAGTCCGAATCGCCTGCACCGCTGAGATCCACTACAGTGTCCTCTGTGGGCACATTCCAAGTATCCTCGAGGCGTTCGAGCATGGGGCTCTGGCATGGAGCAGTAGCTGCGCGCTCCTCCTCAATCTTGACGTGAATCTCTTGTTTAACCTGATCACCTCCCACGTTGCCACCCTCCCTTTTAACTCGGGCTCCTCTCTTGAGGCGCTTCTTGCGTTCGGATGCTGGGCTCGAGTCTTCCTGCTTCATCTTTCTCTTCTTATTGTCCTTCGTCGGTGTCGAGTACTCTTCCGGCCTCAGGGGGGTGACTGGCTCTTGCTTGTCGACCACCTCCGTCGATGTCAGAACAACGAGAACTTTCAACTGCCCAGCCTGGTTGTTCGAAAAATGGCCGGACGCAAGCATGCTTGATGGCGTGATATACTTGTCAGTGTTAGGTACCGTTACTATTTTCTTCCCTGAGAAGCTCGAGGCATATGAGATAGACCAGAGATCTTTGTTGGTCGGATCGATTGTATCGGGCAGCGGGCGGAGATAGTCAAAGAGTATGTCGGTGAATGAGGGCCATGTCAGTAGGTCTGCGGAGGAAAACTTGATGACTGTGTCTTTCAGGGGTAGCACCGTCTCCGGAATCTCCACTGAAAGCCCATTGAAGTACCGAGCTTCCAGGCTCACGAGCAGGAGGCTGATATGAACCCATTGATAGCCGGTTCTCTGCCTTGAATGCTTCTTTGTGCCACTTTTGGAGTTCTGGATTGCTCGGCTCGTTGCAGATGCAACGGTCATGAATGGAGCACTGCTCGACGCGTCGGATGACAGCACGCGTGCCCGTGAGGTCACAGCGCCTGGTACAAATAGCCCCCCAGGGATAAGCTGTGCCCGATTAATGCCAGCAGACGTGACCGGTTTCGGTCTATCACGCAAAAGCTGACTTGCTGGACTGACCGGCCGGGGCGGAGAGTCTTCGACCTCAACAACTTCATCGTAAGGACCTGGAAGCGCTGGAGTCTTGGATCTGGCGCGACGCTGGGTCCGAAATGGATTGGCTAATCCGCAACGGCCACAATAGTTTGCATCGACGTATATCGTCGTGAAAAGATCTTGGTGCTTTTTTCCCGCCTGAACACAATAGACGTGTTCAGGTGGGATTTTTGGCGAGCTCATTTTGTACGGGGAGAAGAGAAGATGGGGGGTTGAGGCAAAAACAGGAGAACATAATACCCAGGGGAAGAACTGCTTTTATTCTATGCATTAAATTGCAACGTCGTTGCTTGACCGATGTAGATGAAGTTCACTAGACTCTTTTGAGCAGGAGGTTGTTGCGCTGGTTCGCTGCTGGAAAGGTGCGAAATTACCGCTGTAACCCTCTGGCTCTGTGCTCGTACACGAGTGCGAAGACGACGTGAGTGGCGATGCCCCAGCAATTGTATGGGAGTGCATTCATGTATTGCTGTCTGGCGGGCGGAGTGGACGGATCGATTTGTTGGTACACTTCACGCACAAACAGAATCTGATGCAGCAGTGATTTTCGACGGCAATGTTTTACATTGAGTGTTCGTCGCGTTGACGACGAAAATGCTGGTCTGGTCCAGGGTATGACCTGTCGTGGAACTTCGCCCTCAGTGTCCGACCGTCCCCAGGTAGTGATGGTACAGTGCTCTTTAACATTCATAGGGCCAACGTGCAGGTCTTTGTATTGCGAAACTTTGGCGAATGATTCCTGTTGGTATTATACTGGCATAATGCTGGCCACTCTTGATGGCGACAGCTTCAGTTGCAGGTGTTGCGAGAACCTGGCGCCAGCCCTGGGAGGTGGAGCGGACCTGCGGCCAGTTCGCGGTACTTCTGTCAAGATCATCCGAAGTACTCAAATGTCTGCCCGCCGCTTCCGCTAAACCCAAAATGGGTTTTGCAACACTGTCCCCTCTCGCCCTCCGTAGGCCGGCGTGATGGCAGATGTTTGGCTTTGTCTGTTCCGTGCCCATTTGGCTACGCGCCAAAGAGACTCTGGCGACTCCGCCGTCTGTTCCACTCTTTCGCGATGCGACTGCCGCAATGCTCTGCCTATGAGCCTCTTCTTTGTGTTTCTTGCTTCGCGATATGCCTCCCAGCTTTCTTCGGCGTGGTCACGGCTGTATATTCGCCGAAGTCGCTTCGTCTCTGCCAAGGCAGCGGAGCATTCTTCGTTCCAGCCTGGCTTTGATCTCGATGTCATGCGGCATTGTGGCACTCCCGCCTCAATGGCGGCATTTAGCGCTGTCGTGATCTCCGTGACATATGCATCCAGGGCTGTCTTTGTCCGCGGTCTTCGTAGAGATGGAAGCTCTTGTCTCAGCGTTTTGGTGAAGACTGCTTCGTCAATTGCCTTCCATTTTAGCCTCATCTTGGGCTGAAGCTGAATAACGGTGAGGTCCAGCGAGGTGACGATTGGTAGATGGTCTGAGTCATGGTTGATGCTCTCATCTATTTCGCACCTGATTAGTCTGTCCACCAGGCCGATGGTTGTTAGGCTCAGGTCGATAGTGGATCAGCGGTCTGCTTCCTCGAATGTGATGGTTCCTTCGGGAAGATGACTGGTCATGCTGAACTCATCCATAGTCTCCAGCAGTTCGTCTGCTTCATCGTCTGATTGCTGTACTCTGCTTCCTCCCCAGTGCTCATGGTGTAGATTGAAGTCTCCTATGACGACTTGATTTCGACAGTGCAAATATTGATCAGTTCGAAATCCCTAAGTGCAGCATCCACTGCGCACACTAAGCCCAGCTCCATCAGCAGCCGGGAGTCTGTCGCGTGATTCGAGCTTCGAATGACATGGGTCCTACACCTCCCCAAGGGGTACGAACGTTCTGCATGTTTGTCTTCTTTGGACAACGCGCGCGTGTTCGGAATGACGACTGCCATGGTGTATGCTGACCAGCCGCAGGTCGCACTGTTTCTTGCTCCACAACCCACGTGGACGATTCCCCGCTATGTCGCACGCCGCTGGGGCTGAAATGGGCCCGAAATCTCCCGTCGTTAAAAAAATGCCATCCGTCACCATCCTCGTCCATCGAGTGCCAACGTTGGAGCCAAGATTTCGTGCAAGAGCCTATCTATCCGCACGCCTTCCGAAAACTTGCCATTCGTCGTTCGTGACAAGGCGAGTCATGACCTCTACGCTGGCCCGCTCGCACGTCATCACCACCAGCCTCTCCAGCTGCTAACCCGCCGTGCCGCCGAGATGGACAACATCTGGGCGGTCCCGCTTCAACTTTCCAACTTCAACATCGTCGTCACGGTGCTAGGTGGCTTTATATCCGTCTTTGGACTTGTGTCATTCCTCTTAAAGGAGAAGTTCTATCTCTCTGAAGCTCGTGAGTCTGGTCTCTACCCCACGTTGCCTTTCCGGCCGTGTTCTCTCCTGCAAAGGAGCTGGCCGATCGGGAGGCACCATGAATGTGACAGAGCACAAAGTCGCAGTAGCTGACTTGTAGGAAACCAAGTCATTTCGTTCTTGGTGGGCGTCGCTTTTGGACCCCATGGCGCCAACTTCATCCGACCTAGAGACTATGCCGAGTGCGACCAGAATGGGGTGACGGACATTGAGTGCAGGGACAACCTCAATGCCATCACACTAAACTTCTCCCGGCTTGTCCTGGGCGTCCAGCTGGTCCTTGCCGGTGTCCAGCTACCCAGCAAGTACCTCAAGAATGAATGGAAATCGATCTTGCTTCTCGTGGGGCCCGGCATGGCCGCCATGTGGATTGCCACGAGCCTGCTCGTCTGGGGTTTTGCCCGGACGCCCAGCTTTCTGCATGCCCTCGCCGTCGGAGCTTGCGTGACACCCACAGACCCCGTGCTTTCCGCCGTCATCGTCAAAGGCAAGTTTGCGGACCACAATATCCCCAAGGATCTCCAGAACGTCATCATTGCTGAGTCAGGCGCCAACGATGGGCTCGGCTACCCCTTCCTGTTCTTCGCTCTCTACCTCATCAAGTATGTGGGCTCCGGCGCCACGTCAGGCGGCGCCGGCGATGCTATAGGGCTCTGGTTCGCGTACACATGGGGGTATACGATCATCCTCAGCATCATGTATGGTGCCGTTGTGGGCGGGTTGGCAAGGAGCTGCTATACTGGGCTGAGGAGCGCAACTACGTCGACCGCGAGAGTTTTCTCGTTTTCGCCATTGCTCTCGCCCTCTTTGTCCTTGGCACATGCGGTCTGATCGGCACCGATGACGTTCTCGCCTGCTTTATCGCAGGCAACACGTTTACGTGGGATGACTGGTTCCGGCTCGAGACCAAGGACGACTCCCTACAGCCGACAGTCGACATGCTTCTCAACGTTACCATTTTCCTGTGGTACGGCGCGTACCTTCCCTGGGACCAATTTGGCGGCAACGCCGTAATCTCGACCTGGCGACTCGTCATCATTGGTGCTCTGGTGCTCATCCTGCGTCGTCTGCCTTGGATATTTGGCATGCACAAATGGATTAACCAGATTGAAGAAGTCAGACAGGCCATTTTCGTGGGTTTTTTTGGTCCGATTGGCGTCTCCGCTGTCTTCTACCTGTTTGTGAGTCTGGAATTTATTGAGGAACACTTAAGTGACACGAAAGGTGTTCCTCGGAGCGATGTTGAGAACCTTGCCGAAACGATTCGGGTCGTCGTTTGGTTCCTCGCCGTCTGTAGCATTGTAAATCACCCTACTCTTGCCGCTGTGTGCGAAGTCGCTAACGCTACATCAGATCGTCCATGGACTGAGTATCCCGCTTGGAAAGCCGGGATACCTCGCTCCTCGGACCATTGGCCGGGTACTGAGCGAGAGCCTGAGCGATGAGCCGAACGCCGTAGAAGCCCGCCGAAGGATCCCGGTGCTGGGCAAGTATCTCATCGGAGAGTCCGGTGACGGCGAGTCGAAGCGCACGAGCACTACCCTCATTTCACGCCCGTCCAACCCTCGCCACCCTCACTCCAGGACAGTTTTATCGGGTGACCCATTGTCGGCGGCTGTTGCGTCGAGTGCTGCGAGCCATCTTGATGTCGAATCTGGGACGATGACTCCGATTCCGGTTCGCCGGGAGCGTGAGATTCGATTCCCCGATGAGGTTCCGCCAGCAGTGACACACACTTGACGGCCCGGATCGGTTGGCATCTAAACTTCGCTGTTCACACACTGCGCGAAAAACCTACAAGCTATATCGCACCGGGCGAATACCCAAAGCCACTTCGTCCCATTGGTGCCATCACGACACAGCCCTTGGCCCTCAGACGCATCCTGATCTCCGCGATGGGCTTGAACGACGCGTGGCCCTTGTGGAGCCGGGGACGGCAGGACTTTTCTGATATCAGCGACTAGAACGATTTTGATGCCGACGGCAGTTTATTCGAACACATGGCTGGGTACTCAGACCCAGGCGAGTCGATTCCATCGATCTCGGCGCTTGTGGCGACTACAGTTCACCTGGGCAACTGAATGTAAAGCAAATGGTTTGCGAGGTCAGCCAAGAATCAGATTGCTGGCCCTTGCTAAACAAGAGCCAACATCGACTTGGACTCGGACAAAAGCAATGAGATGCGCGCAGAGAGCACACACGAGTGATACTGCCAGCCAGAGAGGTCAAGTCGTACTCCCTAAATTCAGCTAAGCGTCCCTTTGGTACACGGATCCGATAATACGACTTGGGAGAGCCAAGGAGACTTGCCGTGTACGAGCTCAAGTATGTGGCGGTGCCAGTAAGCCTGAGAAGGTGTCTGCGCTGGTGAACCGTGTCACCTCATTGACGTAAAAGCGATGATCTGGTGAGATTCCACAGTCATATCGTGCTCCGATTTGCAGTGTCAAATTTGTCTTTTGTCAACCGGCGGATGCGGAGAGTCCGTGTCCAATACGAATTGCAAAAGTTCGTCATGCTTTCGTCTCCTGGACCCGTATCGGGGGAGTACCAGTTGAAGTCGCTGTAGTCGTCCATGTCGAGTTGTCGTAGTGCCATTGGCTTGCCCGGCGAGTTTTCGTCGTCCTTGGTTCTGAAAACGCAGACCACCCGCCCACCCCACACCCAGACCCTAAACTCTCCAGTCCTTCGAAAAGTTGGAACGTAGCAATATTTGTAGGTCATCGTCACTTGGATAGCCGTGAAATGGGGTATCCTCTATCGTGGATCGTCGTGACAGCCATGCTCCAGCATGAATTCTTCGCCGCGACTTGGTAGGTACGTGCATACATGTGATGTGATCCCTACTCTTAAGATTTGCTCCTCATCAGTTAACCCTGGCTTCACCAGAATCGCCGCTATCTGTTGCAACACCAGGCTGAACAGCAAGGGGACAATGTAAGCCCCTTTGGAGTTATGTGCATAGATTCAAGGGCAGATGCACTTACATGGACATGGCACGTTGGTAATATTCGCTTTGACCCACCACTTTACGAAAAATCCTGGCGCTTAGACACTAAGTGAGCAGTACAGTTTGACGGACTGCGCCCTAGCTATGGAGTGATTTCTGCAAGATTTGGCAGAAGCTTGTCACTCCGCCGGCGACTAACATGCAGGTCTGGTGAGGCGAGAGACCTGAAACGACCAATCAGATGCGATTGAAAGTGATGTGACGGGACAGATCGCCAGACCCTCATTGGCTCCTCGTGTGACTGCGGACATCGCTACAGGCCAAGCCACTGACGCTGTACACCGGCAGATGATCTCGCCCGGCAACTAAAGCGCCGAAAAGGAACCTCAATAGAGCATTAAAGCTTGTTGTTTTTTAAGGAGGCAGCCTAGGCATGAGAAATTCACAGAGGCGCACCGCGCAGCTTTGCACTTATCATTCAAATGAATGCATTAATTGGCCCGTGGAGATCTGACTGCCTACTCTTGGGTAAGGAACACACTAGTTCACCCGGCGGTCCATTGAGAACAGCTCGACTTGGATTACCACGATCCATTACGCACGTGCTTGCCCACGTGATGACGGGTTAACCCTCCCGTACGATCCTGCCCGGTCAAGCCGCCATGCGGCCGTCTTTGGTTTGTGACATGCAAGTTTTGAGCTCATTGGCGCTGCAGCACGAGGATATCTATGGACCGAGGAGGCTCCGCGGAAGGGTGCAGGATCTGAGCCTGCTGCAATAACAACCCGTCGAAGCCGGGGACCTCCGGCGGCCTGCGGCCGAGCGCTGCCACATCGCGGACACTTAACGCCGAAAACAGCGGGGTGATCGGAGCCAGCTTCGAAGAATGGTCATTACAGAATGCTGTTCTGAAGCGCGTGTGGGTAGCGTGGCTACCTTCCAGCTCCAGTTTGAATGGCCCTTTCATACAGGCCATAGTCAACAAGATGCTGTCACTCGAACAGTTAATCGCACGCCGACAAAAGGGCGAGATAGTCAGCAAAGGCGGAATGCCGGCATAAGAGCCAGATCCACACCTGAAGAGGACGGCCTACTTGTTAAACTGAAGGGGAGCGGAAAGCTCACATGGCGCAGAATCCATGAGCAGTTCAGTGCCACCTTTCCAGGGCCGTTCGCCTGGTACCTTACAGGTGCATTACTACACAGCATTGAAGGGCCGTTGACGGTCTTACCCTCCGGAACCTCAGGTGTCAGTCTAAGCTGTTGAATAGTCAATGCTGCGTTCGCCCCAATTACAGAGCCGTAGAAAATCATGGACTCTGCCTTGCCATTGGCAACTCCGCTTGTACAAGAGGCACAACGACCATGAACCAGGTAACTCTCTACCATACACGGCGTAGGGCTACCGCTCGGCCCTGGATTCCTGGCTCAAGACTCTATACTGGGTCAGCACTGCCATCGGAACGATGCCGTCTGCAGGGCGATCATACGCAGATTCGCCAACGAGGGCGTTCCCATCGACGCTACAACTGCCAACGGAACAACTGCCTTAGGCGTAGCCTTTGGATGTATGAATCTTGCCGCCGTCGAGGAGTTTCTCAACCTCGGCGCTAACCCAAACATCGTCCCGAGAGACGTACACGACTGTGGCCCTCTCGAGAAGATACTTAGCTTCCAGAGGCACAATGGTGATGAAGACGAACAGCGTCGCCTCGACATCGTAAAGCGCCTGGTCAAGAACGGCGCCAACATCAATCGGTGCACAGGAAATAACTTCCCCTGCGACGGCCCGCCTCTTTGGCTGGCATGCCCGAAATACCTGCGCATTGCCGAGTATCTTCTCGAGAATGGCGCGCGAACAGACATACCTATCATAACTAAATGGCCAGACAACGATGGCGCGCGGTACATCATCGCAGCGCTTTTTGTCGAATGCGACTCGGACGGCTTCATGGGCTGCATAGCCGAGGATACCGTACAAGAGCTCGAAGAAGCCCTGGTCTTACTGTTGCAGCATGGAGCACCCATAGACGAAGTGTCAAACAGTGACGGTGGCGAGTGGTACGACGACGCAGATGGGGACTATTACGACACCCGGGATAGCAGTCACTACGCTGACGGAGACTCGGCCCTTCTGTACACCTGTCGGGGCGTCTTGCAGAACAAGCCAGCCTGTTTGACGATGTTGCTGAAGCATGCGACCAGGAAAAACTTGTCTCTAGAGCACTTGCAGGAGGCGATAGAGACGGAGTTTTCTGACTCGGACGCGGATTCAGGCGAGGGGACAACCGATAAGAACGGGGAGATACAACGTATGCTCGCCGATACAACGTATGCTCGCCGACTTCATGGCCAGAGAGTATCCAGAAGCTGTGTCAGACGATGATACCTGAGCTGGCTGGTGCTGCTGTGAATTTGTCAGACTTTCGATCGCAATCTTCGAGTCTGTGTTGTTAAAGACGTCGCTGAAGTCGAGCTGTAGGGTTGAAGCGTGCTCTGAGGTCGCGCCTTATAACATTTTGAGGAAGTGCTTTCTGGCTGGATGGCAATGGTTGGCCCGCGGACCGTGTAAATGCTCAGTGCAGATTGAACCACTATCGATCTAATAGAATACGCTGCCTGACCACGGCTTCGGGCTTGATACCTGCCCCGACTCCGTTGTCTCGGCCTCGGCCTCGTCATCGTCTGTATCGTCGGTCCTTCTGAACATATCGCAGGATATGCCGTTGCTGCCTGCCGAAGGTCTCGGCAAAAGACTTCCACGAGCCTTTGAAGGCATCGTGATTCGCGGCATAGACCACGAATTGGAAGACTTGACCATCCCCTTACGATCGTAGTCAGTAGAGGGGTTGGCATGGCCGTCTTCTGCCTCATGTTATACGCTGCCACGACGATAACATCAAGGTCTAGCTCTAGATGTTCGGCGGCTATGTCTCTTGGATCAACAGTAACGTCGTCATGGTCGTCGCTCTCAGTGCCCTTCCAACGGGCGTTAATCTTGGCCCAGACGTTGGCCAAGATGTGATATACGTATAGCTGCTGTTGAGTACGCGGGAAGGTATTCGAGAGGGCTACGCGGAGAGCTTGATATTTAGCTATAATAATAACCTCCGGTTCGTCTAGCCCGACATCGATGCAAACCTCGTCAAGCCGGTTACATAACCAGTAAAAGTGGTGCTCCTTTTCGCCGTTAATAAGACCGAAGGCGAAGTTAGCTAGCGACCTCTAATCTACCATGCTAGTGGCCCGGAATCGGTACAGCGTAAAACGGTTAGTCTTATATGTGTCATCGAAGCCAAGAACGTCCGGAAATTTCTTCTATATCGTACGGTACCAGTCGTAAGTCTAAAAGACGGCATGGACGCGGTCCTCTTCGTCGCGTAAGGTTCTAACTTTAATACTACCGCCCTCGAGCTCCTTAACGAAATCTTAGGTAGCTATAAGGCCGTTAAGTCGCTCGCGCTCGATGCTCTGACGATCGTTATAGATATCTCATGCGCGGAAATAATCATGACCAGGCCTGTCGGCTTTCTTGACAATGCTAGTCACCTCCCGATCTCGTGAGCCCTAATGCAATTCTCGTTGGCTAGCTGTCGCTCCTTTTGTTGCTATGCAAGCGTGCGGGGGCGATAGACGTTACGTGCTGACGCGTCAAGAAACTGACCGTGATTATGCTGACCTTCGACTAGTAGTAAGGTATTGGGTCCACGCAACCCAGAGGACAAGTGGTTTAACACAACTGGTGGAGTTCGAAAATACGTAAGTATGCGAACCAGATTTGCGTCTTCTGTCAATATCAACTGGCTACGTTAATAACACTTGTGGTCTGCCATCGGTGACGAGAGTTTCAGGCAGCCCGGCTTCTGCCTACCATGTCTCAGATGCCTGCCTCAATCGACACAGGTATAGAATACCGACTAATTCAATCGTTAAGTAGAAGAACCAAGAGTCTGTCGTTGCCCAAATCCCTTGGGGACCTTCTGCCCGGTCGTCAGTTAGTCATGCACACGTGCAGTGCGACACCTTCAACTGGGCTCGCAAAATCTGCCTGTAGCGGCCACTTGAGTTCTGGTGCCGGGCTCGGAGCTGGGGAGAAGGGTTGGGGTCGCACGCCGTCGCTGGACCGTTACACCGAGCGCTGTTGAAGAGATGAGAAGCAGCCACTTCGCACACTTGCCATCATGGCTCCGCTCGTTCTAGAAGACTCGGCTCTACCGGGTGGGCCGGGCCCGCCGACGACTTAACTTTAGTATTATCTCTGCGAACTGCCTGTTGGCAAGCTGGTTGGACTGATTCACGCCGAGACCCAATTGTTCTGCTGCATGCCTGCTCTGATCGAGACTCGGACTTGACGACTGCCTTGACATTGCGACCTAACCAACACACACATACCCCATATGGTAGCCTAAGCGGTACATACTATGAATACCATTCTTATCGCTGAGCTTGCCTTTAGGATCAAGTAGCACCGTTGATCCCGAAAACTTCCGATGGGCTCTGGATCAATGGCATTGTATCTGACTATGTACTGATATTTCCTGCTGGGATGAGGAGCAGTGAACCACCCACCATTGAAAGTAAGTCAGCCGGCTACACATCCACCCCAATGTTTGAAAAACAGCCGAGAACTTTGTAAGGTCTTTGTACGAAGTCACCCATCGTAACTCCACCACTTCAGTCCGGGTGCGGGCCTCAGGCCAGAACAGCCATGCCCTGTGCTCGCTGTCCAGCCATGCCTCGCAGCCCGAAATGCTGTACCATCTTAGTAGACCCAGCCAAGTCGATCACGGTCACGGCACCTTCGATCGTGCCGTTGCCTGGTGATAATGCGTAAAGAAACTGGCCCGCCGCCCGCAGGTCGATCAGGCCAGGGTCACCAGTGGCGGACAAGTCTATCTCGGACATGATACTGGCATCTTTCAGACTCATCTCAACCAGGCGGTTCACGGCCACGTCCGTTACAAAGGCTGTGCCCGTGGTGGAGGAAATAGTCACCCAGCACGTCGCGACTTGCCCTTCGATCGTGGATTTGGCGACAGTGGTGGCCGCGCGACTGGTCTGGTTGATGGACAGAACCATGGCGCCGAACGAGGCGTCTGTGGCAAACACGTTGGACGTGCCAGGGATGGTCTGTGAGCCGAAGAGAACGGCGCTTCCCTCGGGCACGCTCCGAGTGTCTGTTTTGGAGAGGGTCGCGGATCCAACGCCGCCGCGGCATGCGGCCTTTCGCTCGACCGGGAATGTGGAAAAGAAGCCAGTCTTATTGGTAGCTGGGTCGCCCTTCACAGTACAGAACAACTGTGATTCGTCGGCAGAGAAGAAAACCTGCGATACGGTGTTGGTCGGTCCGACGGGCGGAGTGGTCTGGCCAAGGTCGAAAACCCGGAGATCATCCATCGGCCTCAATCCAGCGTCCGAGAACGAGGTGCAGGAGATGCCGCTCTTGGATCCCGTTGTCCCCACACAGACAAGGCCGTTCTTGGCCGAAGCCGCGACAGTGTTCGGGAAGTCTCCGGGAATCGCTACTGGTTGTCCTACCAGTGAAAGCTTTGTTGGGTCCGCAGAAGAGATGGCAAGCATAGAAAGTGTATTAGACCCAGCATTGACGGCGAAAATGTGCTTTGTAGGGCAGGGCTGTCAGTAAGAGGCCTTTGTAACGCGTCCATGGTCATTGCCTTACCTTTCCCGCTATTGTCAACGCGGACTGGCTCACAAGGGCATCTGGAGTAGCTGGATTTCCGTCACTGCGCAGGGCCACAGAGCCATTGCCTTGTGTGCTGGTCACCGTGCCCTTGCTGAGTTTTCCGTCGCTGCCAACTGGGAGAGCCACAACCCCGTTGGCCTCATCGTTGGTGATCATGTAGATGGCCTTTGCCGCTGCCCGGCCTCTGCAGCTCCCATCCTGGCCGTTGGGTTGGCTGGAGACACCATGGCCTAGCATGACAAGCGCCTGAAGCACAAAATGAAGAGAGAGCTGGCGCATTGTTCGTAGCGAATCGTGTCGGTTGGCGCAAAACTATGTTGAAATGCTGTAAATGAACGGTAATTGAGCACACGAGTCGATGTTATTGAATGAGGAGAGTGATGGGAGGCATGAATGGCGAGAAACGAAGCAAGCTTTATACACATCTTGCATGGTTGACTAGATAGGCCAGGTAGGCTTCCCGCGCCTGCTCGACATTGAAGTCGGCATGATAATCAGAATTTCCTATTTGGATAATGGAGCCAGACATAGGCGGGGGGGTTCATCTCGTCTTCCCGTCGTCTCGCCATGGTGACACCCAAGGCGCACGAAAGCAGCTATGTCTGTAGCATGGCGTACCCAGACGGAGCCTCCAATAAGTGAGGAGGCACACTTTCTGAGACGGCTTTTGCACCTCGATTGTGGCATATTGATTGAAGACCTTGGTTTCGCTTGATCTTCAAAGCTCTTCAGGGACTCGGGGCAGGCCGACGGTCGTAGGTTCAGATACAGCATCAACAGCGGGCTGTTTGGCCTAGGCCGAATCGAGAAATTTTGATATGGTCATCACGGTTGGCTCCACTGGGGCGTGAGACAGAGGTCGGATGTGAGAGCAGGGGGTGGGAATGAAACCACCCCCTGCTCTCACATCCGACCTCTGTCTCACGCCCCATCTTGTGGGAGCAGTGGCACAGTGCTAGCTGCTTGATCAGCCAAGCTTGTGCTACGCATCGGCCCATGTAGCCAACGCGCACGTTTGCGCTGCGACACGGGGGTACGTGGTGGTCTGATGCCACTCCGCCAATATTGACGCGACTCGGTGTGCTATAGGTACTTCTTGTCGTCGGCAAGTTGGCGGAAGATGAAGTTACTCTTTTCTCCCAGGCCGCTTGGGGACACTGACACGGGTGCGATTGTCGTGGTGGGGCATTCGAGCCTGTTCCGCTTCAGTGCTATTGGAAGACTGGTGGAGCAAGTTGATGAACCCCATCTAAAACAGGACTTGAACAAATTCAAGAGCTGACGTCGCGACAGCGCGATCTCAGCCCAGCAACGCGGCGAACAACACCTCAGACGTCCCGGACACCTTCCTGCCCGCTCTTTTCTTATGCCCATTCATTTCAGTGAATTAGGTCAAGAATCGACACTCGCCAATCGCGTCGACGCCTGACAATGACGAAGGGCATCTTTCGCATCTTCAACCCCGCAGGTTGGTGAACTTGGTTTCTGCGAACTTCTGTAACTATACTCTGACGCGGAACCAACTCACTGAACAGCGCCAAAGGAAGACCCCGTTGACAAGCGGCGAGATCAGCTGCGCCGGGCTCAAAAGCAAGTTATCAAACGCGTCTGCCACCTCTGACCACGAAGTCTGACCGTGCCGCCAGATCGTACCGTGACCGCCGCGTCTGGTACACGCGATGCCTGGAGAAGGACCTTCAGCGAACGCGTGCCAGGGAAGCTAAACTGCTGCAGGAGTGCGAACACCTTCGGGTCACCGTTCGCAATGTGTTGAGCGTGCTCGATGAGCTCGGTGTGGAGCTTCCCAGTGACCCGAGGATCGCGAACACCACCCAATCCCTACCAGTCCATGGAAGCGGCGACGACTCACCTCGGTCGCCGGAACGGCTTCCTATTCCTTTGATGACGGGAATCCATTCAAATAGCGAGGCAAGCACCCCGTTCGGCGGGGACAGATACCCGGCCAGCACCTTATCATCGACGCCCCTGAAGCCGCCAACCCCGCTTGCCGGTCAACCACTGGAAGGCCCTCCTGTGGCTGCCGAGAGATGGCCGACACCACAAGACCTGTCTCAAGCGTCCATCTCGCCCGATGACCGAGCGTGTTTGGGCGATCTAGACGTTGTGACTTTAGGAATGGAGTTTGTGTTGAAGTATGGCACGCTTGCCTGGAGGAAACACCCATTGTCGTTTGTCCGCCAGATGACTTACATATGAGAACAGGATCGAGGAGCCATGTCTGGGCCACATCCACGGCAATCTCGCAAAGCCCGATGAGCCGAACGGCCATGCGCTTACAACCTCCGCGCAACTGCTGGCGAGTTCCCACGCTCCTACCTACACGCCGGGCGCTGCGCTTCTGGCGCCCTTGCCGTATCACGATGCCCCCGTGGCACTTTTAGAACGCCTTCTGAGCCTTGCGCCGGATTTGTCTACCCATGGAGAGGTAACGCCCATTCAGGCATGGAATCGGATCAGGTACCGCCCGGACTTCCAAGGTCTCGATGTGCACGTTATATACACCTTGGCGGACAAGCTGAAGGAGGCAGCTAAATGCCACGGGTAAGGACACAGACCCTGCTTGCTACCCATGTCAGAAGGGAGACCCCTAACATTGCGCCAGTTTTGGTGCCGTTGTCCAGCAGACTGTCCTTGAGAGCTTGATCTGCGAGACGCTTATTCCGCGAAGATTTGGTCGAAGTCGGACGAAAAGGGCAGCTAGGGAAGCTAGACGGCAGCAGCGATGACGGAGGGGTAGGTGCCCCTTTCGAGGGAAGACTGGTAGTCTACGCGTTTGCGGCGAGCGTACGGGTACTTACGAGCGAGATATCCGCGAATGTTGTAGTGTCCCTGGCAGCGGATAGCTATCGGGTTAGAGCTAGGCCTATAGCGCTAGAAAGCGTAGGTAAGGTGATCGAATGTAGGGACCTTTTTTGCCCTTGGGAGTGAAAATATCTACGCCTCTTTAGCTAGGGATAAGTCATAGAATATAAGCTATAAGCTTTACGGACTTACTACCTTTTGCCTTTATCCGGGTAGTTATAATTAGGCCACTATAGGTAGACCGCGCTAGACTAGGCAGTAGCTATATATATATAACTATACTATAGCTATAGGCTAGGGACGTATATTATAGTAGCGATGATATAGGAGGCGGCTAGACATAAATTTTTACCGTTTAGCTAAGTATTATAATTTATATCTTATAGTATATACTATACCTCCTTAAGTATGTAAGAGGATATATTAAAGCAGCTATTATTATAGATACTACCTTTATTGCTCTATAAAGTATATATATTAGGCATATTATATATATAGTATTCGCGCGCTCTTTACTCTAGTCGTACATCTATATAAAGTATCGTATATAATTATAATAGACTTCTCCGTTTATGGATATTTATTACCGTTTATTTAGATAATTAATAGTATTTTAAGATAGCGTTACTACTAGCTATTATAACGTTTCTATATATAGGCGACTATTGAGTAAGAGTAATAAAAAGGTAGAGGGGAGTATAAAAGGGCGAGGCATTAAGGGGCTGCGTTTATTTACTTTTACTCGCGGTTTAAGAATATATATATTATATAGCGGACCGGCCCTAACTATATAAGATAGGCCCCGCTTAGAACTAATAGTGGTTAGGAGTAGGCTATCTTAAATAATAGCTAGTTAAGATAATAGCGGTAAGGACCTTAGTTTATAGGCACCTTTTCTTAAAGTACAGGAGTCTAGCTTAGATTTACTATAAGATCTTTATATCTATTATAAAAGATATATTATATTAAAGATATAAGTATAGCTTTATTATTTAATAAAGCCCTTTTTACTATAAAGTATAAGGCTAAAGCCGATAAGTTAGCATTATAGCCTTCTTTAAAACTAAAGTATAACGTATTTAAAGTGAAAGTAAAGAGGCCCTATATATAAGATATATAGTCCGTCTATTAGTAAGTAATATACTATTAGCTAGCTATAGTAAAAATACTATTAGAGGCCTTAACTTATACTTAAAAGAATAGTCTTAATTAATAGATTAATTGATAATATATCTTATAGCTATATTATATATTCTAGTAGGGAATATTAATATAGTAATTTAAAGAATATTTTTTACTTATTTAATATAATTTAGCGGCTATATAATAGATATTTAACCGATAAAGCGAGTAAGAAGTTACGTAAAAAGAAAGAGAAGTATTAAATTTGAAAAATTGATTAATAGTAAATAATAGTAAGAAGGCTAAGGTAATAGCTAATTAATACTAAATCGAAGCATTATAAGAGTATGTAAAGGAGACGAGATTAGGGTCAAAGGACCTATAATAGACCTATATCCTCTATGAAAAAGGTAAGATAAGGCTGAATGCTTTAAAGAAACTAAGTGTACCGGAGCCTAGGTAGGGTCCTAAGGTTTGCTGTTGCTTAGGAGGTAAGCTAGGTTTGACGAGCAGTAAACGATTTAACAAGAGTCCGTTAAGAAGCTTTGAAGACTTCTCATTCAGATGAATGCTTAGATTGATCACTGAAGATCTGGCTATCTACTCTTGGGTAAAGACTGTAGTATATATATCCATCCAGCTCTTCCGTGATCAGCTGGCTCAGTGGTGATCTTGCTGAGCCATATGCGGTCATGTGCCTGGTCACGTGACGGTCATCCTGCATCTGCTCAGCCATATGCAGGATCCCTGTCCGTGAGGCTTCCTTGGGCCGGCCCGTCTGGCGGCCGCCTTGTTGGTCTGTAACACTGCTATACCTCCCGGCACCGCAAGCATGTCCATCAGGAGTTGCAAGCAGGGCTCACCGCGACTACTGCGCACGGCGGCACATCGACAACTCTCGCCTGGGCGACCACTGTGTTGCACTTACGTATCTCAGTCCCCGTTCCCTGCAATGTAATGGCTAGCAAGCCCTAGGGTTAATGAAAACAGAGTCTGCACGTGAATCACGAGGTTGTCGAGTTTAAGCTCACTCATATGTGGCTGACCGTTGTGACCTGACTGACTATGCGTCCAAACAGTATGTCCCTGTCAGCATCTCACCATACAAATCGTACGATTCTGGGCATGGCTGAAGACTCCCTGATTATAGGTGCGGCACGTGTACAAATTTCTGGACATGAAAAATACAACACGGAAGACCTCAACAGCGTTGACCACGCGCCGTAGCGCCAAAGGGCNCGGATCAGGTACCGCCCGGACTTCCAAGGTCTCGATGTGCACGTTATATACACCTTGGCGGACAAGCTGAAGGAGGCAGCTAAATGCCACGGGTACGGACACAGACCCTGCTTGCTACCCATGTCAGAAGGGAGACCCCTAACATTGCGCCAGTTTTGGTGCCGTTGTCCAGCAGACTGTCCTTGAGAGCTTGATCTGCGAGACGCTTATTCCGCGAAGATTTGGTCGAAGTCGGACGAAAAGGGCAGCTAGGGAAGCTAGACGGCAGCAGCGATGACGGAGGGGTAGGTGCCCCTTTCGAGGGAAGACTGGTAGTCTACGCGTTTGCGGCGAGCGTACGGGTACTTACGAGCGAGATATCCGCGAATGTTGTAGTGTCCCTGGCAGCGGATAGCTATCGGGTTAGAGCTAGGCCTATAGCGCTAGAAAGCGTAGGTAAGGTGATCGAATGTAGGGACCTTTTTTGCCCTTGGGAGTGAAAATATCTACGCCTCTTTAGCTAGGGATAAGTCATAGAATATAAGCTATAAGCTTTACGGACTTACTACCTTTTGCCTTTATCCGGGTAGTTATAATTAGGCCACTATAGGTAGACCGCGCTAGACTAGGCAGTAGCTATATATATATAACTATACTATAGCTATAGGCTAGGGACGTATATTATAGTAGCGATGATATAGGAGGCGGCTAGACATAAATTTTTACCGTTTAGCTAAGTATTATAATTTATATCTTATAGTATATACTATACCTCCTTAAGTATGTAAGAGGATATATTAAAGCAGCTATTATTATAGATACTACCTTTATTGCTCTATAAAGTATATATATTAGGCATATTATATATATAGTATTCGCGCGCTCTTTACTCTAGTCGTACATCTATATAAAGTATCGTATATAATTATAATAGACTTCTCCGTTTATGGATATTTATTACCGTTTATTTAGATAATTAATAGTATTTTAAGATAGCGTTACTACTAGCTATTATAACGTTTCTATATATAGGCGACTATTGAGTAAGAGTAATAAAAAGGTAGAGGGGAGTATAAAAGGGCGAGGCATTAAGGGGCTGCGTTTATTTACTTTTACTCGCGGTTTAAGAATATATATATTATATAGCGGACCGGCCCTAACTATATAAGATAGGCCCCGCTTAGAACTAATAGTGGTTAGGAGTAGGCTATCTTAAATAATAGCTAGTTAAGATAATAGCGGTAAGGACCTTAGTTTATAGGCACCTTTTCTTAAAGTACAGGAGTCTAGCTTAGATTTACTATAAGATCTTTATATCTATTATAAAAGATATATTATATTAAAGATATAAGTATAGCTTTATTATTTAATAAAGCCCTTTTTACTATAAAGTATAAGGCTAAAGCCGATAAGTTAGCATTATAGCCTTCTTTAAAACTAAAGTATAACGTATTTAAAGTGAAAGTAAAGAGGCCCTATATATAAGATATATAGTCCGTCTATTAGTAAGTAATATACTATTAGCTAGCTATAGTAAAAATACTATTAGAGGCCTTAACTTATACTTAAAAGAATAGTCTTAATTAATAGATTAATTGATAATATATCTTATAGCTATATTATATATTCTAGTAGGGAATATTAATATAGTAATTTAAAGAATATTTTTTACTTATTTAATATAATTTAGCGGCTATATAATAGATATTTAACCGATAAAGCGAGTAAGAAGTTACGTAAAAAGAAAGAGAAGTATTAAATTTGAAAAATTGATTAATAGTAAATAATAGTAAGAAGGCTAAGGTAATAGCTAATTAATACTAAATCGAAGCATTATAAGAGTATGTAAAGGAGACGAGATTAGGGTCAAAGGACCTATAATAGACCTATATCCTCTATGAAAAAGGTAAGATAAGGCTGAATGCTTTAAAGAAACTAAGTGTACCGGAGCCTAGGTAGGGTCCTAAGGTTTGCTGTTGCTTAGGAGGTAAGCTAGGTTTGACGAGCAGTAAACGATTTAACAAGAGTCCGTTAAGAAGCTTTGAAGACTTCTCATTCAGATGAATGCTTAGATTGATCACTGAAGATCTGGCTATCTACTCTTGGGTAAAGACTGTAGTATATATATCCATCCAGCTCTTCCGTGATCAGCTGGCTCAGTGGTGATCTTGCTGAGCCATATGCGGTCATGTGCCTGGTCACGTGACGGTCATCCTGCATCTGCTCAGCCATATGCAGGATCCCTGTCCGTGAGGCTTCCTTGGGCCGGCCCGTCTGGCGGCCGCCTTGTTGGTCTGTAACACTGCTATACCTCCCGGCACCGCAAGCATGTCCATCAGGAGTTGCAAGCAGGGCTCACCGCGACTACTGCGCACGGCGGCACATCGACAACTCTCGCCTGGGCGACCACTGTGTTGCACTTACGTATCTCAGTCCCCGTTCCCTGCAATGTAATGGCTAGCAAGCCCTAGGGTTAATGAAAACAGAGTCTGCACGTGAATCACGAGGTTGTCGAGTTTAAGCTCACTCATATGTGGCTGACCGTTGTGACCTGACTGACTATGCGTCCAAACAGTATGTCCCTGTCAGCATCTCACCATACAAATCGTACGATTCTGGGCATGGCTGAAGACTCCCTGATTATAGGCAGCGCTCATCATATGTCAACTCAATCAAGCCATCATCCCAATCAAATCAATCAAATCGTTGAACGAGGTCTGTCAATCAAATCAATTCTTCCATGTCAACAAGTTGAAATAGTTGATATATGTGCGTGCCACGTTTGATGTCCTGGAAGTCACTTGAAATGCGATGCCAGGCAGGAGCCTACCCTAGACCAGATGGCTACAGATCGAGTTTACTTGGTTTGGTATACATCTGCCGCAATATAAGAAGTACTCCTTAGCGCAATCTACCGCGTCGGTGGGCCCCACAACTCGCGACGCGCCCCAAACTGTGTCGCGTTGGCGCAGCCCTCGCCTCGTTCGCTCAGCGGATGCCAATTGCCATGGATGGCGAGATGTCCGACTCTCCAGCTCCCTCGTCGCCTCCTAGCCTTCCGCAGGTGATATCAACGCCTTGCCCCACACCTCTCTTCTCCGCTTTCTCGCGACTGGCCCAGGCAAGGACGGTGGCCAAGCAGCTCGAGGAGGCTGCAAGTGCGGTGTTGCCAGCCAATCCGACCATTCAGGATTTGCCCAAGATCGCCTGCAAAAATCGTCTTTTCGTCCAGGAAGATTTGCTGGCCCGAAAGGGAGCGAAAGGCAGGAAGAGCTGGATCAGGTCCCATGGGACATTCCTCGTCGAATTGAACCACCAGGATCAGCCAATAGGCCATGTCTGGTGCTGCCATCGGTGTGACCTGAAGGGCGAAGCTGAGTTCTTCTCAGTGCAGGCTACATCCTCGGCGGCGGATCATCTTCGAAAGTCGGCCGCTTCTCAGAACCCCCGATGGCAAGCGAAGCCTTGCTGACTTGCGCAGAACCCATCGGATCACGCCAGCGAGCCAGTCGAACGAATCGAGCCCGAGCCATGACAGCGGCATCGATCTCCATCCAGCCGTGACGCCAAAACGGCGTCGGCTCGAACAAGGCGTCATCCCGAAGGCGAAGGTCAGAGCGATACAAGAGCTGAGCGTTGGCTTTGTAGTAGATAGCGACGTGCCATTTACTATCTTCGAGCACAGCTTCCTTCGAAGGCTGTTTAACCAGTTCGACCATGAGCTTGTGCTGCAGATACCGTGGAGCGGCAGTTCCATCGCCCGAGAGCTGCAGCGCCTCTTCGATACGAAACGGGATGTCATCAAGGCAGAGTTGCGCGATGCATTGACGACGATACACGTCAGCTTCGACCTGTGGACATCACCGAATCGGTTTGCGATTATGGCTGTGTTCGCACACTTTATCGACCGAGGGGCACGCCAACAGTCGCGGCTGCTTGCGCTCCGACGCCAATTTGGCACCCATAGCGGAGAGAACCTTGCTGCGTCCCTTGTCGGCATCGCCCAGGACTGGGAGATCGGGGGGCGAGTCGGCTGTGTTGTGTCTGACAACCTAGCCGCAAATGATCATTGCCTCCAGTACATGTACAAGCAGCTGGACTCATCGATGAGACCCGCTGACATCAAGGCACGCCGGATGCGCTGTTACGGACACATTCTCAATCTTGTTGCGCGTGCCTTCCTCTTTGGCAAAGATGCAGAGTCCTTCGAACTCGAATCCGAGATCAATTGCATGCGTGGTCTTGCAGAGCAGGACCTCAGACACTGGCGCGCGAAGGGACCCATCGGGAAGCTTCATAATATTGTCAAGTTTATCCGGTCGTCGCCACAGCGAAGCGAACACTTTAAGCGCATTGCCCAGGAGGAGGAATATGAAGAATATCGGCTTTGTGAAGAGTCCACTGCAGAGCTGGAGGTCATCCTGAACAATGAGACCCGGTGGAACTCCACATACATGATGATCGAGAGGGCTTTGAGGAAGCGGACAGACATCCAGGCCTTCATCTTTGCTCTTGAAGGCGAACAAGATGCGGCAAAACACATCCCGGCGGCTGACGTATTATCGAATGAGGATTGGCGCGTCCTTGGTGAAGTCAACGCGATTCTCAAGCCGATATACCTTCAGACAATGCGGACTCAAGGCTGGGGCAAAGCTGACGGCCATGGGCGCCTGTGGGAGGTGTTGGTGGGGATGGAGTACCTGTTGGAACACTTTGAAGACTGGAAGGCGTTTTATGGGGAGGTGACAACACAGACAATGAGTCAGCCTACGTTGGCTGACCTCGAGCCGGTTGAAGCAGCGTCTACACCCACTGACTCACCAGGAGGTCGACCAAACCGTGCGCGGCGTCTCCCTGCTCGCTTTGATGATGACGAGGTATACGTAACCAGACAGCGGACCCAAACGACGAAGCTCACAGAGTCGTCTTTGGCAGAACATTCACAAACCGAATATCTCACAATGGGAAAGTCTGCAGCATCTGAGATCTCGCAGAAGAACACCCTGCCAGCAGACTATCGAGCATTTATCCGGACATCAATCAACAATGGGTGGAAGAAGCTTGACGAGTATTACAGCAAACTAGGAGAATCGCCTCTGTTTGCGGCCGCCATCATTCTGCATCCCAGGTTCGGTCTCGGGTGGCTAGAAGCAACTTGGGTTGCGGAGGAGCAGCTAGCCTGGGTTCGCGATGCCAAGGCGGGAATAAAAGACTACTTTTCGCGCTGGTACAGCAGGGAACGAGAGCGACGCGAGGAGACCGGGCTGGACAACTCAGCTCGACGGACGATGGGCCAAGAAGATGACCAGTACACCCAATGGATCAACAGCAAAACGAAGAAGGCGCTTGAGATGGGTGGCAACAACGGCGAGTTGGACAGGTATCTTCGCCTTGAACCGCAGGATACTCAGGATCCTATTCAGTGGTGGAGGGAGCATACGTCCTCATTCCCGTCGCTCAGCAGCTTCGCTCTAGATGTGTTTGCTATTCCAGCTATGGCCAGCGATTGCGAGAGGCAATTCAGCCTGGCCAAGTTGACATTGACGTCGCAGAGGCTTTCCATGAGTGCAGATACACTGGAGCGAGTACAGTGCCTCAAGAATTGGGTGCGACACGGTGGTGTGAAGCTGGGTAATTGGCCGGGGAGCTGAGCTGTGAACTTTCGCTGAGGTATCATAGGTCCGTTACGCATAGAGTTGATATAGCGTATCAAACAATTCAAATAAATCAACTCAGCATTCGAACTCTGTCAATCAAATCAACTTCGAGGCCAAAGTTGATTTGATTGACATATGATGAGCGCTGGTGGAGGCGGAGCTCTCGAATGAGTCCACGTTGCGGTTTGCCTGGTGTTTGGAGACGGATGACGCATTCGACGTCTGGGCGCAGTACAGTGCCGACCGCGGGAAGACTTGGCGCGGATTGACGATCGGACTTTGCGATGGGTCGGCAGAGGTCGACATCGCCGGCCTACCGGCGGGCCAGGTGCTGCTGCGGCTGCTGACGCACGACGGCTTCTCCACCGTGGCGTCGGATACGGTAAAGATCAAGGTACCCGAGCGCGCCCCGTACCCGGCGATCCTGTACCCCGCCCACGGCGAGCTCGTGCCGGCGAATGCCGAATTCGAGGTGCTGGGGAGTGCCGTCAGCCAGGGCGGCGACCCGGTAGATGACGATTGCCTCGAGTGGTTCGTCGACGGAAAGTCGTTTGGCCGCGGCCGCGCCCCGACGCTGCAGGTCAAGCCGGGCGACCACAAGCTCACCTTGCGCGCCAACGCCCAGCGCGACGCCGAGGTGACGATCGGCTTCACCGCCCGAGCGATCGCGCGCTGAACGGGATGCGGGCTGTTGGGTGCATATTATCTGCCAGCACCTGGCAGTTATGGCTTGAGTCGGTTAGTAACAGTGATGTTATTGGATTGGATTGGAGCTGGATCTGAGCCTCGATCCAACTAATGCGAATAATGCAGTAGCTTCTGAGAAAGCGAAACCTAAAATTGCATAAGAGAATAATTGATTTTTTAATGCAGCCTCCAGTATATCCAGAACGGATCCAGTTCAGATTGTTACCCTACCCTTTTGGGACAATAAATGAGCCGCTGAATAAGCAGATTTCGGGTAGAACTGGAATTCTGCCCTTGTGCGTGGTCATGGCAGCACTTAAATAAGTGCTCATTATTCTCCAGCAACATGCTTCTCCGATGTGCGCGATTCCCTCGGCGCTGTTGCGGTTGGCACGGATAGCGGTACGCGAACCACTTAGGCGTGTCCTGCTTGAATTGTATGTCTATCATACCCTATTGCCGGACAGAGTAGCGAACATATTGCTTTCCATTCCGCTCGAATTCGTCCGGTTCGATCAGGATTCCGTCGTGGAATCCCCTGCGTGATACCGCTCTCTATCCAGCTCTTGTACACCGTTTACTGCTCGTCACCGTTACTGTTTGTCAAGCCTAGCCTACTCTTTGATCAACAGCAACCCTTAGGGACATTTCAAGGTTCCGTTGCAGCAGATGATCTTGCCTGAGTCGGCCGTCAATGTGGGCGTCATCGGCGAATGGACGCAGCGAACCGGTGGCATCCAGAGGCAGCCGATGCGGACAGTCGCTGACCCGAAGGCCAACGACACTCGGATCGACCGCCACTGCAGCACGTTCAGCCGAGTAGCTGGGTACCCAGCCGAGGAGATCTCCATCCCCGTGGTTCAAAGGATCATTGTTTGACGCGGAGGATCGCGGCCACCTAGCCTGGGTTCCGATGTAAGGCGGCAAGCGATCTCTCGCGCAATTGGGGGTTAAACGGAAAGGTTGATTGGCTGAAGTATTGATTGAATTTGTCGATTATCGATGCATCACTGTTCCGATGTCTGCCTTGGACGGAATAGCCTGCTGGATGAAGCGCATAAAATGAGGAAATATTGTCTCCAGTGCCGTGATATGCGCTTGTAGATCCGCGCGCTCCTCCAGGAGCAACCTGCTTCTTTCCTCCAAGAGCAGGATGCTCTCTCTCACACGTTGTAGGTCCTGTGGGCTAGGTAAGCAATAGTAATCGCCACACCTCCATGGCACCCTGACCTTGTCCCCCAGGCCCGTTTGTTCACGTTGTTCTGCCATCGAAGCTGTTTCCCCCCTGCTAGCCAGACTGGGATGCAGCAGGAGTTCGAATGGCCGACAAGGTAGGTCAAGTCTGTGCACTTGCCAAGGTAGGCGCTGTGGTGTTGCCGATGGTTGGACTCGGCAAGAACGGATTGCGTGCACCCGGCAAGTCAGGCAGGTGGCAGAGCCGCTGATGGTTGGGGTGTGACGCGGTCTTATGGCAGTCACTCCATGTTTAATAGCACCTGCGTGAGTTAACCGCAAGAGCTTGCGAAATGCTGTTGAAAATTCAGTCCGCATGGACGAGCCCGCCGGGGGACATTAGGAAGCCGGCTGAGTGGCCCGAGTCTCCACTACTCAGTGCCTCGAATTTGGGGATACGGAGCGTATTGGCTGATCGCATGCCACTGCCGCTTTCACTGTCTGTTCCCTGCGCCACTAACAGCGCTGGCATGAACACGAGACAGAAGCATGCTGGAACTGAATGGGCGGTGGCAAATTCCAATACCTAAGGTGCAAAGGCTACTTCATCGCTGCCAGGCCCAGCTGTTCAGACTGCTGAATTCTTTTCTGGCGGGGTCATATTATTGTTGGAATGTTGCGATTTGGACCTGATTTCTCTATCGCCCGAAGCATGAAGAAATGGGACATCGTTGGCGACATCAGACGCCCTGGCGATCTCACCATAAACAACCTAACATGTTGTGCGGTGGACCCCATGAGTCATTCAGCCGAAACTGCAGGAAGCTCTACCCATCTCCAAATGAGTAACACGCTTCGAGTGATCCAGCACAATGTGGCAAAGCAGGGCCCGATTCAGGATAGTTTGATGAACGACAGGGAAATTGAGAATGCGGCAGTGTTGGCTATCCAAGAGCCGCAGGCAAGGACAATCAAGGGTCGCCTACTGACGACTCCAATGGGGCACAGCAAGTGGACGAAGATGGTTCCCCTAGCATACGCCGTGGGGAGATGGGCGATTCGAAGCATGTTGTGGGTCAGAAACGACCTGGATGCGGAGCAAGTGCCGATCGAGTCTCCGGACATGACGGCGGCGCTGTTGCGGCTGCCGGACCGTCTGGTCTTGGTGTTCTCCGTCTATGTACAAGGGAGTGAAGAGCAAGCGCTCCGAGAGGCGTGTGATACTCTGCGGCAGGTGATCACAGACACCCGACAGAGTGCAGGCCGAGTCGTGGACGTGGTGATTGCGGGCGACTTCAACCGCCATGACCAGCTGTGGGGAGGAGAAGATGTGGTGCCAGAGAGATACGGGGAGGCAGACCGGATTATTGCGCTGATGAACGAGTTTGCGCTCAGTAGCCTTCTACAACGGGGCACGAAGACGTGGCATAGGGGTATGCACGAATCGACAATTGACCTGGTGCTGGTGTCGGAGGAATTGGCAGGCTCGGTCATCTCCTGCAAGACCTTGTCTTCGAACCATGGATCGGACCACGAAGCCATCGACACGGTCTTCGACACATCAGTTCCGGAGCGAAAGATGCCCGAGCGGCTGCTACTCAAGAACGCGCCGTGGAACGATATCAAAGAACGAGTAGCCGCAGCCCTGGGAACGGACCCGATCGAAGGCACTGTCCAACATCAGACGGATAGGCTCATGTCGGTAGTGTTGGAGGCGATGCATGCCCTCACACCCAGAGCGAGGCCGTGTCCCCATACAAAACGCTGGTGGACGTCAGATCTAACACAGCTGCGACAAATACACACATACTGGCGGAACCGCGCTAGGGCATCGAGACGAGGGGGCTGTGTCTCAGAGCAGCTCGAGGGCACAGCTCGAGGAGCAGCCAAACAATATCACGACGCCATCCGACAGCAGAAGAAGAAACACTGGAACGAATTCCTGGCAGACAATGACAATATATGGCAGGCGGCGAAATACCTCAAGTCAGGGGATGCCTCAGCGTTTGGTAAGGTTCCACACCTTCACCGATGCGATGGCTCCAGGACTACCAACGTAAAAGAGCAAGCCGAGATACTGCTTACTATCTTCTTCCCTCCGCTACCGGAGATCATTGAAGAGGAGGGCGACAAGCCACATCGCGGGGTAGCAGTGCCCATGCCAGACATCACTGCGGCTGAGGTTGAGCGACAGCTCTCCGCAGCAAAGTCATGGAAGGCCCCCGGCGACGACGGACTGCCGGTCGTGGTCTGGAAGCAGCTCTGGCCCAGTGTCAAGCACCAAGTCGTGGCGCTGTTCCGTGCGTCGCTGGAGCAAGGAATCCTGCCGGACCAATGGAGGCACGCCAAGATCATTCCCCTCAAAAAGCTAGACAAGCCCGACTATGCAGTAGCGAAGGCGTGGAGGCCAATCTCGCTGCTGTCGACGCTAGGCAAAGTCCTGGAATCGGTGATTGCGGAGAGGATCTCTCACGCGGTCGAGACATATGGTCTGTTGCCGACCAACCACTTTGGGGCACGCAAACAACGGTCCGCCGAACAAGCCTTGATGCTGCTACAAGAACAGATCTACGCCGCCTGGCGCGGTCGGCGGATCCTGAGCTTGGTTAGCTTTGACGTGAAAGGAGCGTATAACGGAGTGTGCAAGGCCAGACTCATCCATCGCATGAGGGCGAGAGGCCTCCCGGAGGGTTTGCTGCGATGGGTGGAGGCATTCTGCTCCAATCGCACGGCCACGTTACAGGTTAACGGGCAGTCAACAGATGCGCGGATCCTTCCACAAGCAGGCCTGCCGCAGGGCTCTCCGCTGTCGCCGATTCTCTTTCTCTTCTTCAACGCTGATCTCGTGCAGCAGCAAATCGACTGCCACGGAGGCTCTGTGGCGTTCGTGGACGATTATACAGCCTGGGTCACTGGCCCGACTGCGCAGAGCAATCGCGTCGGAATAGAGGCCATCATAAAACGAGCGCTGGACTGGGAGCGACGTAGCGGAGCAACGTTCGAGGCCGAGAAGACGTCCATCATCCACTTCACTCGCAAGGCTTTCAAGTTCGATACTCACGCATTCGTCATCAAAGGTCAGATCGTCGAACCAAAAAGACACGTCAAAGTCTTGGGGATGATCATGGATTCCAGCCTGAAGTACAAAGAGCATATGGCGCGAGCATCCGCCAAGGGCCTGGAGTCGGCCATGGAGCTCCAGCGGCTTCGTGGCCTCACCCCAGCCACGGCGAGACAGCTGTTCACGGCTATGGTCGCGCCAATCGTAGATTATGCCTCCAATGTATGGATGCCTGCGTGCCGATACAACCGGGCCGGCCCGATCAATCGGGTGCAGAGGGCTGGGGCGCAGGCAATCGTCGAGCAACATTTATGACGGTAGCCACCAGCATAGCCGAAGCGGAGGCGAACATCCCTAGCGCCCAGGAGCGCTTCTGGAGGCGGGCTGTCAAAATGTGGACCGACCTGCACACCGTGCCAACAACGAACCCACTGCGCAACGCAACGAAGAGCATCCGAAAGCGGTTCTGTCGACCTCCCTTCTACAGTACGAGCTGGCGAAAGCACTCAATGACATTCCGGTCGGCGAAATGGAGACGATCAACCTTTTTCGTTGGCTTCGTGGGCCGAACGGATCCGGACGATCACTGACGACAATGACGCAACGACAGGCACAGACGCGGGCGCGGCCGGGGTTATGCATGTAGCGAGCAGCTCAGCCCGTAATGGTCTTGTAGGGTATGGTGCGGTGATCGAACTGTCTCCTAGTGGACAAGGACCGGGACTTGAACGCCACTCCTTCACCCTTGGCCTGAG